CGAGACGTAAGATCAGTAATCACAGTGCAAACGTGTTTCAACAATCCGCCGCAGACTTTCTGGAAAAAATCAATCACTTCAGCCTCGACATATTTAGAGGCCGAGAGGTGAAGGAGCAGGCAGCGCCCTGCGGTGCAGTTTTGTTTCACAGCCGGCCGCCTCCGCTTTGACGTACTTACGCAGGTATCGAATGGCTGACAGGGCACTTACGTTGGCCAGCAGAACTGTGTGGAAAACACAAGTGAAAAAGTGAGTAATCCTGTTGCTAAAATCCAAGTTTCAGTGTGTCACTTAATAAGAACCATTTTGTAATTTCAGTCTTTAAAAAGGAAATTTTCTGTGGTATTAAACACCCTGATGCTGCACACGTACCAGCCTTCCAAGCATCTCCGACTTGTGGATTTGCAGTCTTCAGCACCCACGAGGCAAACGCAATGCAAACCAGACACATGTCTGACTGTTTGAGCGGCAGGAACGGGGCTTCCAACCCTTCAAAGACAGAAATGTTTTGAGTGGGTAAGCTGTTTGTGCAAATGCAACACACAAGAAGGGAACAACCATGTACAGAGAAATCCATTTGTGTTTGGCAGCTGTAAATAAAATCCCACCAAGTTTGGCCTTCCTCTGCTCTCACACAGTGCCCCAGTAAACCTCGAAACACCTGCAGACAGTTCACTTCTAGGAGTATATAAGTATATATATGTAGCTAGTGAGTATTTGTGACCTTAAAGATAACCCTCATGGGTAAGCAAAAGAGCTCAGATATCATATGAGTAGCATATTAATTAAATGCATTGGAGGAGGGGAGGGATTTACACACAAAGACTCATAAACAAATATGAGGTAATTTCATTTCCTTCACAGCCAAACACAATTACAGCCGGCTTAGAGCTCAGATATGACGCTCATTGAGTGAAGTCAACTTATCACGTACTACCATTCCCCTTAGCTTCACTCCTGTGTGCCGGCAGTCCAGTACGGATCGTGTGACAGCTGAGGAAAGAGAATCTGTCCCAGTCAGGACTGTAACAGCTGACCGAGCAGTCGTTACAGTCGTCCACATGTGAGGAAAACAAAAAAGAGCTTAACTAAATGAAAAATAGTCTATTAGTTTTGGTTTTTTGTCTGGAGGCCTCACAGAGATGCACTCTGTTGGACAGGTTCATACAGTTAGAGCAGTCTTCATCTTGCTCTTCGAAACATCTTTTTTAAGTTTAAGTGTATCACTCTAAGATACTGTAATATGGAATTTTATTCACTTTTCCATTGAGGCTGGAGTGGAAAACAATATCAGGTCCAGCATACTGTAGGTGAAGTGTTCAGAAGACAACTAGACTCCTTTCACCTCCTCCAAGCTGTGTTTTCTGCCTCGTTCAGGAGATTTTGGCTGGTCACAGGTCATTTTAAGATTTGAAAGCAACTGAGTGCTACTTTGTGCAAAGATGACAAATTTAGACCCCTATCTGATACGTGGACATGTTTGTAAAATCAGATGGTTAAGCTGGGAGAATATAAAGAA